CAGGCAAAGTGCCAGATGAGCTTCAGTTACCACAAGGTCATTTCAAAGTCAGCTCAGTCAGAGCCCATGTGTTCTGAAAAGGGACAGAGGTGGCATTTGAGTGTGGTCAGGTAGACTTTAGAAGTTGTCAGAGTGTTCTTTCAATGTCCACCAATGCCCATTGTCTGAGAATGGCACCTGCCTGTGTCAGGTAGGAGCTCGGAGCCCACACAGGGTCAGGATTGGTGTTGCTGCTCCCACCCAGCCGTGGCCTCCTCCCTTCCCCTCAACACCCTGCTTGTCTTGCCTACCCCCCGCAGGCCCTCGCTCTCTCCAGAGGCCATCCTGGCCAGGGCTGCCGGGAGCACCTCCACCCCCTGCAGTGGCTCCCCTGCCTCCCGGGGCAGGTACACGCTGAGGTGAGCGGGCCCAGGGTCCCAGGGGGTGGGAGGGGGCAGCTTTTGGATCCTGAGAGTCATTTCTCTTTCTTCTCTCCCCCTAGGGATTCTCTGGACCTAAGTGACATTGACTCAGAGCCTCCACAGGGCACCTTCCCCGCTTTTGAGCCTCGGAACCTCCTCAGCCTGTTTGAGGACTCACTGGGCCCAACCTGAGCCCACGGGCCCAGGCTCGGCACTTTTAACCTCTTAGCCCCTTCCCTCCATCCTCCTGGAGGCTGGGGTCTGTCTGGAAACTCCAGTGGTCCCTTCTGCCTGGCCGTGTCTAATAAAAGGTATTTGAATCTTGGGAGTACCCAAGCTTGCTTGCATGGCAACACGGCGCTTACTGACGTTGCCCAGGGTCTGAGGCCCCTGCGACAGCCCAAGGTTGAGCTCTGCTGCAAGGCCCCAAGCCCCAGGCTGGCAGATTGGAGCTGGGAGTCACCCACTGTGTGGAGCAAAGATTTCCTGAGCAGGCATGTCCCTGCTGGGCAGGTCAAGCTTTCAGAGCACTCAAGGTAGAGGGTGCCCTCAGTCCAGTGGGGCTTGGGTCCAGGGCCATTCAGCTCTTTACATCTCTGTGCCAGTTGCTTGGAAAAAGCAGCAGCCACCACCCTCCCGCCCCTAGGTCCTGGGATAAGAGGCTAGTCCTGTTGTCCAGACCCCTCATTCCACAGTCTCTGACAGCAGGGAGAACGGGCTGCTGGGAGGGCCAGCATGCAGGGTGGACAGACAGAGGGCAGGAGGCTGGGCTAGGCAGCTGTGAGGTGCCTTATGTGAGGGTCAGGGTGGGTGATGGCTCTGGGCTGGCAGGATCCCAACTGTCCCTTTGGCCCAAACCTCACAGGTCACAGAGGGTAAAAACAGGCCCAGAGAAGGGAAGGTTTCCTTTCAGCCTATAAGTCCCGTGGAAGAAGGCAGGAAGGGGAAATGGAGATCCAACGTGTGAGTAAAAGAGGCTAGTCCACAGGGAAGAATGGATGAACAGATGAGGGCTCCCCGCTAGGAAGTCCCATTTGCTGGAAGCATCCAGGGAGCCAGCATGGTGCTGTTGGCCCTAGAAGACTGTGAGCAGGCCGGCATGGCGGGCGGGAGGTGGCTCAGTCCAGGGGGCAGATGTGCCGGGCGGCCCAGAGCAGGTCAGGCACGACGCCAGCGTGCAGCTGGAGGATGGAGCCCACGCTGAGCAGGTGCATGATCTGGTGTGAGTTACCCCAGTAGTCGAAGCGGCCCGGTCCCCAGCGCTCTGGCAGGCGGGCCACGTTCACCAGCCCCCCAAGCAGTGCCAGTGCATCCATGCGCAGGTAGCAGCGCAGGGAGCCTGGAGCCCCAGAGCCCAGCCCCACTCCCCGGGCCCCAAACATCAGGAGGCGGGCGCCAGCCTGCCAGCCAAAAGCGCGGAGCCGGCTACTGGTGGAGGGGGCGGTGAGGGCCCGCCAGCCTGCCACACCCGACAACACGGTGTAGGCCACCAGGGCAGCTGGGCGCAGCCAGGGCCTGCAGGCCAGGGTGCAGTGGATGATGGGCAGGGCCCCTGCACAGAGGAGAGAGGCAGGAGAGGGCACATCAGTCTGGGGATCCACCTGCCCTTGTCCCTTTTTTTTTTCCTTCCAGTTTCCCTGATACCTGCCCTTTCTATCTCAGGCTCATGTGAGTGTACCCAACCCCCAGCTCCCATCCTTCAAGCCCTCCGCCCCCCACCCCATCCCTTGGCTCACCGAGGGTGTTGACGAGGCAGACCCCACACATATCCAGGGCAAGGAGCCGAGTGTACACAGGGCTGCCCCCTTTGTGGCACATGAAGAGGTGATAGAGCACAGAGCCTGCAGGGGGTGCCAGGCAGGCTACACAGTGTGTGCCCCACAGCCAGCCATCCTTGCCCAGCTGACCCCAGGGCAAGGTCATGGGCAGCAGCACCAGGAAGCCCAGCAGGGCCAGCCCTGGGGGAGGGAGACAGTTTTCCATCAGACAGCTTCAGCAGTGAGGACAAGTCATGTCCTCAATGAGGCCACAGGCTAGAGGGATGGGAGCAAGACAGGTCCTGACAAGGCTGTTGGCCAACTCTTGGCCGGCCCTGGACGGAGGCAGGCTCTGGGCTTTCAGTAACTTTATTTAGCAGAGCTCACAATAGTTCTGGGAAGGGGAGACCATTATTCCCACTTTATAGGTGAGGAAACTGAGTAACCTGCCCCAGGGGACCCCAGCAAGTAAGCAATGAAGCAGCACAGAGCCCTGGGCAGTCTGACTCCCAAGCTGGTCTCACCCTTGCAGCCACCACACCACTTCCCAGGAAAGCAGGGGGCCCCCACTCCCCAATCTGGCCTAGGTATATCAGCAGAAGCCAGAGGGGGCATGATCCCAAGGTGAGTTCTGAATCCGACATGTAGGCAATGACAACAGATCCCAGGGCCACTTATCTTGCTCCTGCCAATCCCTATGTCCTCTCCTCTCCAGAAGGGACCAGACAGATGGAGGCTGTGGGCCTTTTTGTCCACCAGAGCAGGTGAGGCCAGGCAGGGCAGGGGGCTGAAAGAACCCTGTTCCATCTTCTACCCAGGCACCTTTTCAGGGAGTTCCAGTGCTCCCAGTCCAGGCCTTCAGAACCATTCCTACCACTTCCTGCAGGCACTTTGGCATTGCCCTCACATGGGTCAAAGGTCAGCACTGGCAGGCTGTGGCCGCTGACTGCCCACTGTTGGCAGGGTCTAGCCAGGCCACAGTCCCCCTGGGGGCAGGTACCAAGGCTGGTCCCAGCGCACTCAGGGCCCCTCTATCCACCCGGGTAGGCCAAGGACGGGCAGGGCTGTGTCAGCACAGTTCCGCGGGGCCGCGGAGGAGGGGCCCGGGGCGGGGTCGGAGGGGGGGAGGAGCCGCCACCAGGCGGAGCCCGGCGGCTGGGCTGCTATGGACGGGCGGGGGCGGCAGGGCGGCCGGGGCCTAGCTTCTCCTCCTGGGCCCCTCCTCGCCAAAGTCAACACCCATCTCCGGGACGGGTGCTGGCGGTAGAGGGTGCCAGGGCGCAGGGATTACGAAGCGGCCGGAAACCAGATTCCTTATTCCCAGGGCTCAGAGGGATTAAGCGGATTCGGTCTCCGACTCTGCTTCCCTCGCCTGCCCCGGGGGCCCCGCCGGGGGAGCAGAAGCGGGCAGCGACGATCGGCACAATGGCAGCTTTGTCACCACGGCTCCTGGCCGTGCCAGGGCCGGGGCAGCCCAGGACCTGGGCGCTGGGGCTCTCCTCGGCCTTCGGGCCCCCGGCCCGGCGCGGGCAGGGCTGCCGCGGATGGGGGATGCGGGGCGCGGCTCACCGTGCGTGTAGATGTTGCCCAGCTCGTTGTGCATGTAGAAGAGGCTACGCAGGCAGCCCGAGCCGCTGCTGGCCGGCCGGTAGCCGGTGAGCACGAACTTGTTGAACTGCAGGTGCGGCGGCGAGCTGGCCCAGTCCAGCAGGCGCGGCCCGGCCAGGAACGCCATGGCCCGGCCGGGCGAAGTCGGTCCGCGCTCCTCTTGCCCCCGGGTCTCCTCAGCGGGCCAACAGCACCCGGAGCCTCATCCCTGCGCCCGCCCACCTCCCAGTGCTCGGTCCGCGCACGCGCTGGCCCGGGGGGTCCCGGCCCGTGCCCCGCTGCGCACGCGCGGGCCCCGCGACCCCCACGCCTGGGCGGAGGCCGGGGACGCACAGGAATCCGGAGCGCAGTGCGGCTGGCAGGCGCTGTGCAGGGACAGCTCGCGGCGGCTGCTGTGGCGGCGGCAGCGGCCAGTAGTAGTCTCTGGGCTGCCGGGAGGACGGGCGCGGCCGGACGCGGGAGGGGACGCCAGGCTCCGCCCCAGCTGCTCGCCCCCGCCATCCCGCCAGGGTTTCGCGCTCTGGGCTCCTGACGTCGCGGCTGCGAGGGCCAATGGGCGCGGCCGACTGGGAGGTTCCTCCCGGCAGCCGCCCAGACCTTCAGCGTCTTAGCATAATATATGCGGTCCCAGTCTCATTTGCATGGGGTGCCTGTTGGATTGGGACCCGACGTTCTGGGTCCCGGTGGCTCGCGTTCCCTTGCAGTTTGCGCCCGGGCTTTTCGCGCTACCCCCAGGTTGACTCACCCTTGGGCCTTCACCCTCCCGGGCACAGCCCCTCCACCCTGCAGCACCCCACAGCCCGGGCTCTGTCCAAGGTGCTGCCGACCCGGGATTTTCGGACGGGTCAGGTCTAGAGCCGGCGCGCCCCTACTCCACGGGTGATATCTCCACTCGCCCGACTTCCCCGGAGCGCAGCAAGGCGTGCCGAGATGCCCGGGCCTATAGGGGTGTGCCTGACGTGCCCGGAGCCTTCCAGTGAGGCCCTGCCCTTCGGGCCAGGCTTCTTCGAGCTTGGGCTGGGCCAAAGTCGCTCACTGTTCAAGCCAAAGGCGCATCTTCGGCCCCGCCCAGGACGGGCAGGAAACGGAGAGGGAGAGAGGGCAGGAGGCCAGGGAAGGAAGTTCAGTCCCCACCAGGGTTCATCCTAAATCAGGTCCACGAAGGCATCCCTTCTTCTGCTTAACCCTGCTGACAACCGGCCTCCACTTCCTCCCCTTCTCCAGGACCCCGCCCACTCATCCTTCCGCCTCCGCGGTTCCTCTGCATTCCAGGCTGCTACACGAAACTCTTTGCGATGAACGCCTTTAACTTGCATGTACACAACCACTCTTGGCACTGTACCCTCATAGCTCTTCCCACACATAAGAAATTCCGGAGCCCTGTACCAAAATAGGTCTTTTATTCAAAATCTATGATTAGTCTTTTGACCACTTTTGTTGACCTCTCACATTTCACTTTGGGCAGCAGTCCAGAACCACCCCAGAAGGGGCTCAAAGACCCAGGTATCCAGGTTTATGAGGGAAGTCGAATTCCTCTTGCCCTTTGGCCTTGACCATCTGGACCCCGAGGGTCAGGTGAAGTTCCCAATAATAGCACCAGATGCTTCCTGTCCAACGTCTGGCCTCCTTGAGATGACTAGAGGCCGAGCTGCCAAACTTCAAAGGGGCAGAAGGCCAAGGTAGGCAGTGTGTGGCAAAGGGTCTCAGGAGTCTATCCCGCTGCAGGAGGGTCCAGTGGACCCTGGGGGTCCCGAGTCAGAGAGCAGAGATGAGTGAGCGCAGGGAACTCTGGCTGGAGGCGCTCAATGGCCGGTAACTCGCGGTTAGACTCTCAACCTGGGGGTCCCCAGGAGGACAGGGCAGGGCGACCCCTCGAGGCCGGCGGTACCAAACGGCCCAGCTTCTTGCGGGGTCCCGGGAAGGCCCCAACGCTGGGGGCCCTTTACCCGGAGCCAGCAGGCAGCTCCTAGAGAGGGAGCAGACGTCAGCCGAACCCCCAACCAACCTCACCTCCAGCACCTTGCTTCGCTTGTGATCCGACGCGTCCCTCGAACGCGTGATCCTCGTCCCTCGAACCCAGGAGTTCCTTCCAGCCCTGTTCCCGTCGTGGGCCCTAGCTTCCCACCAGGGCCCCCCACGCCCCGGGGCACCGGGGTGGGGCGTCAGGCTCCCGGCAAGGTCCGCCCTCAGGTCCTGCCCCAGAGCGCGCACCGTCCGCGCAGCAGGCGCAGCAGCGACAGCAGCAGCAGCAGCAGCACTGAGACGGCCGTCACCGTCAAGAAGACCTGGGCTGCGGGCACACGAGTGCGGTGAGGACAGGGCTGGAAGGGTCTGTTCCCCAAACTCTCTCCCGCCTCCCACGTCCGTCTCACCCCCAATCGCGGCCTCTGGAGCCCCAGGCCGGGGGCTGCAGCTCACGTTGGCCCCGTCGGGGGGCCCTGCAGGGGTCTGGGCCGAGCCCTTGGGGGGCGCAGGGTCGTCGGCGTCCTGCAGCCCTGCGGAGAGGGGTGTGAGGCAGGCTGGCGGGGGAGCGGGCTGAGGGGGGACGCGGCGGGGCCTCACCGCGGTAGGTGAGCGCGAAGCCCTGCGCATGGCCGCGAGCGTCGCTGCGGAAGGTGAGCAGCAGTGCGACGGAGCGCAGGCGCAACGGCCCCGGCGGCGGCGGGCGGGAGCCGTCGAAGGCGCGGAGCAGGCTGCCCGAGGCGGCGTCGCGCAGCTCCAGCTGGTCGCGCGGGTCCGCCAGCTCGAAGAGGCGGAAGGTGAGCTCCAGCGCGGCGCCCGGGGGGCCCAGCGCCCAGCTACAGTTCCGGTCCGGCCCGTACTCGTCCGGGAAGTCCGGGGAGTAGATGACACCTTGAGGTGCAGTCCAGTTCCCCTGGCAGGAGCCCACGGACACTGTGGGCGGGGCCGGCGGTCAGAACCCGGAGACCGGCGGGCTCCTCCTTCTACATAGAGCCCCGCCCCTTCCCAGCTAGGCCCCGCCCCAGACAGACCAGCCTCATCTTCGGACCCCGCCTCCACCCCAGGTTCAGCCCAACTCCCTCCTCCGACCCCGTCCAACCCCTTCCATAGGCTCCGCTGTCAAACTATTAATTCCCTCCTCAAGTCTCGCCCTCAAACAATTCCTTTCTCAGGTCCCGTCCTCAGACCCAGACCCCTGGCCCCAGGTTCAGCCCAGTCCCGTTTTCGGGCCCAGTCCTCAACCCAATCCCTTTATTAGGCCCCGCCCCCAACCTACCGCCTTCCCTTCCCAGATCCCGCCCCCTGTCACGGCATCGCTGAGTCTCACTCAGACTCTTCCCCTCACCCGGGCCCCTCATCCCTGCCCACTCCTCGCCTTCGTAGATGCCCAGGCGCCCATCACCGCCGCACAGCTGGCCCGGGTGGCCAAAGCAGATCTGGTCACAGTCGGTGGCCGGAGCCGGGCGTCCCCGGGCCAGGTCGCTTTCAGAGCCACAGAAACAGGCGTAGCCAGCCTCCACGCCCGCCAACTGGGAGCACAGACTGGGTGACCACCGAGACAGGGGCTGGGGTGGGGGTGGGGTAGTGGGAGCCAGGGGTTGGGGTCGGAAGGGGGAATCGGGCTGGGGGTTCAGAAATTAGTGTCAAGGTTTGGCCTCAGAGTTCGAAGTTGATTTGGTCCTGAGGTCAAGGTCAGGGGTCACCACCGGTCTGGGCAGGTGGGCAATACCTGGTAGCCCTTCATGCGGCAGAAGCGAAGGCACACCTGGACCGTGAGCTTTGTTGAGGTGCCGCTGGGGCCGCTGAGGGCCGGGGGTGCCCCGGAGTCCACGAAGCAGCCCAGGTACCCAGGCACTGAGGGGGCAGCAGAGTCAGGCTCAGTGAGGCGCCTCCAAAAGCGAACTCTGCCCAGGCAGCCCGGCTTCCACCCTTGTCCAGTCCGGCCCACTCACTATGACACGTTGGGATATCGCAGTAGCGCCAGTAGATGCCCTCCTCTGTCTCGGCCACGTAGCACCATGGCTGCACATCACCATCTGGGTTACTGTTGGTACAGGAGAAATAGTTGGGATCCTCCTGTCCCACGAATGGCAAATTCCAGCCCTGACCCACGGCTTATTCTCAAAATGGCCACCGTGTGTGTTCGAGCAAATTCTGGTTTGCCCACCAGAATGGATGTCGACTTCCGAGTGTACGGTGGGAAGTCATTAAAGGGCCCTGGGGGCTGATTTTAGGTCTTCAGCTGTTGCTAGGCTATGAAGACTTTGAGGCCATTTGTAGTATTAGTCCTCCACCCAGCCATGGGCCTCAGCCAAGTCCCTTGTCTTGGAATCCTGCTTTAAAGCAGAAGTGATGAGCCCTAAGCTTTGCGGTTCAGCAGGGAAGTGTCCTCCCGCGCAGCTCGGTCCCTGCCGCTTCAGACCGAAACTGTGGCTCTGAACCCCCAATCCCTCCGTCACCACCAGTAGATGTGTCTCAAAAGAAGATGTGAGCCAAGGGCCCGGCCCCTCACTCCAGGGCTTGCCCTATGACTACGCCACGCCCTTATGGGCGCCTTGAGTGCCCAGGCCTGACCTGAGGCTCTGCAGAAGTTATGCGCCTACGGCCCAACCCAGGTCAGAAAAGGTTCTACCCCACGCTTAAGCCCCGCCCCCAGGCCCTCGAGATGGCCCCTGTGCCCGCCCAGCAGAGACCTCCGCTCCGCCCATGCCGAGGCCCAGCTCCGGGCCAACGCCTGTAATAGTGCACCCAGCTCCGCCCCAGCGAAGGCCCCGCCCCTCACCGGCAGAAGTTGTGCGCGCCCAGCCCCCAGCGGCCGTGGGGGTCGCTGGCGCTGCTGTAGCTGTGCTGCTGCGTCTGGTCCCAGTAGAGGCACGGGCGGCCAGTCCCGCGCGGGCCTGTGCGGTTCTGGTGGCCGCGGTAGTCTGCGCCATTCACCTGGAAGCACTCGGACAGGCCTGCACGGCGACGGCGGGGCCTGGGAGGTCCTGACCCTTGCCGGGCATCCTCACCCCACACTTCGATGCCAACTCCCACCTAGCTCCCCAGCCAGCGCCCCCGGCGCCCACGGGGCCCTCGGGCTGCTCAGCTGCTGCCACCACCTGCTCTGCCCCCTCGCCAGTGGGACTCGGGTTCTAGGCGCGGAGGCCGAGGAGGGAATGGTGACCTCGGCCCAGTCGCCGGGCAGCGACTCACCTGGGTTATGCAGGCTCCCAGCTGAGGTCCCGCGTGGCAGCAGCAGCCGGAGCAAGAGAAGGAGGAGGAGGCCCTGCGGGGCCCGTGTCCCCATCGTCCCCAGCCAAGAAGAGGTCGCCCTGGCCCGCACAAGGCCCTTGTCGCCCCTGGGGTCGCTCCGGGGTCTCCCAGGAGGCCTGGGGGGCGTTGTCCTCTGACAGTCTGTCCTCGTCCCCGCTCTGCGAGGCGCTCTCTATCTGGGGCGGGGGGTGGCGGTAATATCTCCCAGGGGTATTTGCCTCCTAGGGTTTCTGGCCCTGAAGGCGTCTCTCTGCCCCGGCCCCTACTGGGAGTCTCCCCGGGGGGACGATCTCTGGCCAGGGATGTTCTCCGTCTCTGCCTCTCCGGGCTTGGGGTCCTGCCTCGGCTTCCACACCCGCCCCCTCCCTCTGCCTCTTGCTCTCTGAGTCTCCCTCGCCCAGGTCTCCGACGCGCTGTCTCCTGCCCCCCTGGCGTCCCTCCCCACGGGTCCCCCCCCCCCCCCCACACCGAGGCAGGGAAGCCCCGCCCGAGACTGGAGCGGAGGCAGCAGGTCCAGACACCTCCCACGCCCGCCCCCCATCTCTGGGACCCTCTGTGTCCCGGAGCGCGCCTCCCCTCCCTTCCTCCTCTCAGGGTCGGTGAAGGTTCCTGCGGGAGCGTGTGGAGGAGGCCCGGCCAGGCTGGTAGACAGAACGACCCTAATGGGGGAGACACAGGACCCTCTCCTGAGGCCACACGTCCCCGGGGCACCCGGAGTCCCCAGCTCACAGACACCCTTGAATGAAGTGCAGGCACGCTCTCCCACTCAGTCACCCATTCATTGTGAGACGCTCACACGCACACCCTCTTTCGGATCTTCACGCCTCTCCCTTCCCAGGTCCCGATGCCTCTGGCCTGAGGAAGCGCCACTCCCTGCCCCCGCACCCGCCCCACGGGCTGGAATGGTGGCCACTCAGTCTGGGACAGGCAGGGGCAGCTGGTGTCTGGGGAGGAAGGCAGCTGCGCCCCTGGTCCCAGCCTGTTCCCTCCTCTCCTCCTCCTCTCCCTAGGACCCCCAGCCCAGGCTCGCCGGAGCCCTCGCAGCGCGATGGAATTCCCCCAGCGGTGCCCCCCCACCTGGCGGGGAAGGGGGAGGGGAGCAGGCCCAGGCAGGCGTGGGGGGAAATTCCCCGCCCCCTCCCCCTGGGCCCGACTCCTCCGAGTCCTCTGATCTCCCAGCAGCGCCCGCCGGCTGCCCCCAGGGCTTGGGGAGAGGCCAGCGCAGGTGCGTGGGAGGGCGGGGGCGGGGACCGGGAAGGAGATGGGTGGTGGCCTGGGGCCCAGAGCGGCCCGCCCGGCCCCGATATCTTGCCTCCCAGTCCAGCCTGCCCACCCCTCACCAGTCCCCCACCAGGCTGTCCAGCCTGCAAGGACCTGTCTCCGCTCTGTCAGTACCCGCCATACTCCTCCCCCGCCCCAGATCGGGGGCGCAGAGCAGATTCTAGGAAAGCCACAGTGCTGGTGGTGGTGACTGGACCCTCGAAGACCTCGCTTCGAATGAGCCTGTGCCTCATACACAGGCTGGGGGGAGGTGTGTGTGTTGGGGAGGCGTTATCCCAACGCAGTTGGCTGGCTGAGGCTGGAGGCCAGTGCCCAGGTTGCCTCCTGGGGGGACCCTCTCAGCTGCCACGCTGGCCCGGGATCACCTCCCAGTTTCCTGGCCCTGCTGGGCAATGGACTGGGAGTCTCACCAGCGCAGGCTAGCCCAGCACAGGGAACCCATCTAAGGAGGGAGTAGTAAAACCCATGGACCTGGCCCCCTTCTCCCTTCTGCTTGTGAGCTTGGGGGCTGCTGTGGCTCCGTGGCATTGTCCTAGGCTCTGGCCCAGGGATAGCATCCTGGGGCAGCAGGCCTGGGTGATGGGGGTGCATGGGGAGCCTTGCTCCCAGGAGTCACCTGAGAAAAGGGCGGGGTGGGGGACAAAGACGACCAGGACCCCTCGTGCAGAAGGAAGTTCAGTGGTGGAGTGGAGGAAGAACTGACCCCTTTTCTGGCAGGAGGGTTGACTAAAAAGGGCTGTCCATCTGGTCCACTGTACTTTGGGCCCCCACTGCCAGGCTGATCTCCTGCAAAAGGGGTATTGGATGAAAAGAAGGGGGTGCTCAGTTCCAGGACTCAGGCACCAAGATGAGAGGCAGTATCCCCACTGCAAGCTCCAGTCCCAGGTGGCTCACAGAACCTTGAACTAAGGAAGGCCTGGGCTCTCGCCCCCACCACTTCCGGGGAGTTCAGAAAGGCTGCCTGCCGAGGGACCCATGGTCTCAGTCAGGACCTCCCCCTGGTCTCCCCGCAGCAATGGTACCACTGTCGTGGGAGGGCTGGGTCCCTACTGCCTGGCCCCTACCTGCCCCCTGCCTGTTTACTGACCCTGGCTCCTCCAGCTCCTGCACAAACAGCTGAATTTCATTTCCCTGCTTCCCTTGCATTAGGTATAGCCACAGGAGTGAGCTCTGGCTATGAGGCATGGGCAGGAGTGATGCCTCTCACTCCTCAATTCTCAAAGAAAGGGCCCAGATCAACAGCATTGACATCACCAGGGAGCTTGTTAGAAATGCAGATTCTCATACCCCACTCCATGCCTCCTTCATCAGAGCCTGCATTAACAAGATTCCCAGGTGTTAAAGTTTGAAAAGCACTGATGTAGACCCCTGCCAGGTCTGGTCTACAATACCCTCAGTTTCTATCTCCTTCATTCACCAACTAGATGGAGGGGATACCTAGGGCCTAGGGGAGGGTGGAAGGAGCCAGATTCCCTAGCAACCTTGTAGAAGGAGCCCACCAACTAAAACTATCAGCGTGGGATTCTGCATGAGTGGAGAAATAAACATCTATGTGTTAAGCCACTGAGATCAGGGGCTTGCTTGTTACAGCAGCTGGCACAACTTACCTGGACTAATACATTCCCCCCACCCTCATACAGTTCTTGTCTCCAAGGCTGGTTCCTCTGAGAGCTGGGAGGGAGAATGTTCCATGCCTCTCATTTAGCTTCTGGTGCCTTGTTGGCTGTCACTGGCATTCCCTGGCTCATAGAAGCCACTAATCACCCCAGTCTCTGCCTTCACCTCCGCATGGCATTCTCCCTGTGTGAATGTCTGTGTCTGAATTTCCCCTTTTTATACGGACACCAGTCATGTTGGGTTAGCGGCCCAACCTACTGCAGTAGGATCCCGTCTAAACTAATCACATCTGCAACGACCTATTTCCAAATAAGGTCACATTCTGAGGTACTAGGGGTTAGGATTTCAACATGTGAATTCTGGGGGGACACAATTCAACTCATAATGTGTTACTTATTTCTTGTCACTTTTCCATCCTTGCTGCTAGTTCTCTAGTCCGAGCCACCACCATCTCCTACTTGGACTAATAGCTCTCTCAACTGAGGTCCAACTCCCCATGGTTACCCTGAACAGCCCTTCCAGCAGCCAGAGTCTTTTTTTAATGGAAGAAGGCTGAGGGGCTGTTCTAGTGCCCTCGGAGCCCTCAGGGGAACAGTAGGGTGGGCAGCCAGGAGAGGCTGGGCTCTGCAGAGCTGTGATGAGGATGCAGCCTGAGTCTGGCAGCCGCCCTTACCTTTGTCTCCAGAGACTCCCTTGGGTACCTCTGGCTTCTGGTCCTTGAACCAGGTAATCATACCTGATATGGACACCTGGGAGAGAACACCTGGGGCAGGTGTTGTATGCTGGGGTTGCATTTTAGAAAAGCCCTTGGCTATCATGGGGACAGATTGCAGAGGGGACACTGGATGCTGCAGTGGTCACAAAGGTGAAGGGTTGGGGCTCTAGGTGACTCAGGGGCCTAGGGATGGGGATGTTTATTTTTCTTTTTTTTTTTTTTTTTTTTGTGGTCCACGGGCCTCTCACTGTTGTGGCCTCTCCCATTGCGGAGCACAGGCTCCGGACGTGCAGGCTCAGTGGCCATGGCTCACGGGCCCAGCCGCTCCGCGGCATGTGGGATCTTCCCAGACTGGGGCACGAACCCGTGTCCCCTGCATCGGCAGGCGGACGGACTCTCAACCACTGCGCCACCAGGGAAGCCCGGGGATGTTTATTAATACAAGGATTGACTAACAGTCTTCTTTACCATATGTGTGCCTTACTAGTGCTATGGACTGAATGTTTGTGTCCCCCCCAAATTTACATGTTGAAACCCTAATCCCAATGTGATAACATGAAGAGGTGGGACCTTTGGGAGGTGTTCCGGTCAGGGTGGAACCCTCATGATGTGTTAGTGCCTTATACGAAGAGGCCAGAAAGTTAGCTAGGCCTACTCCCCTTCCGCTCCCCATGTGAGGACACAGTAAGAAGGTGGCCAACTGTAAACCAAGAAGAGAGCTCTCACCAAAACTCAACCATGCCCGCACCCTGACCTCACAATTCCAGCCTCCAGAACTGTGAGAAATAAGTGTCTGTTGTTTAAGATCCCCCCTCTGGGGCCTATGGTATATTATGGCAACCTGAGTGGACTAAGACACCTGGATTCCCCAAATTCTCCCAGCACCAGAGGAAGGAACCCCATCAGCCTTAACACATAGGGAAAGAAACCACAGAGGCAGTGACTTCTAATGGGTCTGAGGTTTCTTTTCGGGGTGATGAAATGTTCTGGAATTAGATAGAGGTGACAGAGGCCCTACTCTGAATGTACTAACAGTCACTGAATCATACACTTGAGTCGGTGAACTCTACGGTGTGTGGATTGTATCTCAATAAAGCTGTTACTAAAGAAAGAAAGAACTAGGCAGGGTGGCACTGGTGGCACTGATAGCTGACGGGACCTAGGGACAGGCAGGGCGGTGTTAAGGACGGCTCTGGGTTTCTACTTATGTGGTGGAGTTGTCAGAGGAGGGGGGTGATGAGGACACTCCCCTTCTCCACCTTTGCTGCTGGTGACCATGGGATATCCAGGGTCAAAGCCCTGGGGGCAGCTGGACACACAGGTTTGGTTGCAGAAGGGAGGGCAGAGCTGGGGCTGCAGATTGACAAACCGTGAACCCTGAAAATGGCTGGGCAGAAAAGGGCTGAGGTCCAGTCCCCAGAACACCAACCACCTTGCTTATCGGTTGGGTGGGAGCCAAGGAGCCCTCAAAGGAGATGCAGAGAACCTGGGAGCCACCTTCAGGTCTGCAGGGATTAAGGAGGGGCAGGCAGTGCAGGCGGTGAACTCTGAGATGCACCCGCTGAATTTAGTGACAAGGAAGTCCTTGGTGCTACCCAGCAGGAGCCATCTCGACAGAGGACATGGGGACAGGAGGCTGGGCTAGGTGGGCAGGGGGAGCTGGGCCAGGAGAAGAGTTT